AGGCCACGGCGGAACGTTTTGTTCGGCTAAATCACAGCCCTAAGAAGCATCCTCCACTCCGTTTTTCTTTTTGAGGCAGGAATGCCAACAGTGCCCTGGTTGCACTTCTATCACTCATTCTGCACGAACATTTGGGAACGGTATAAAGTGTAAAATATTGTGCAGTGCGGTCCATGAAATATTGTTGGTTGTAAGATTTTGCGGTACTTGCTGTGCAGCACAGTTAGGGCTTTAGTAACATCTGCAGCCTGCAAGTGAATAGCGGCGCTTAGCAGCATCGGACGCTCCATAGATTTTTCAGTAGATAGCTGTGAGCATCAAATGCCTATTACTGCACTGCATTTGCATATGCGCCTAACGCATAAGCATGTGCGATAATACGGCGATTCCAGATCGCACGTGGAGGGATCTAAAAATTGATCTTCATGCACGCAGCTGAAGATTTCAAATTCAAAATTACACGTTGAATTCGTATCAAGTGCAAATGCTAGATATGAAAAGCGGTATTGCGCATTCCTTATGAAATCGGATCTGTGGGAGCCTAAAGTAAAATTTTGAGTATGAGTATGCCAGAAGGCCTGTCCCTCGAATCGTATATGACGGCATTTGTGCTTCCATAATTTTAGCATTCTTGGCTTTCCTGATTTTGAAGCTGATTTTTCACGACGCACATACACTTACATACGTAGGCCTGAACTGTGTTGCGTCAAAACATATTTTTATGATGACAAAATGCATAAAAAGTGATAAAGCTCTGTTGCTTGATTTTTCACATCTTTGCAGGTCCAGCATGTGAAGAAAAAGAAAGATGAGCTGGAGATGTGCGGCCGTAATGGTTCCATCGATTGCAGCCTCGATGAACCAACAAAGTTCGATCTCGTTTTGTTTTGCAAACTTCTGTTTGTTTGTCTCTGAAGTTTTCATTAAAATTTTTTGATCAGAATTTTTTTTTAGCTTTTTCGTCATCGAAAACGTTGGGTTTGATCCCACAGAAGTGCGGCTACGCAGAGTACGTCAGTACAATCCGAGCCACCATCGTCCCCTCTGTCTCAAGTGGGGCAAGCTGCTGCAGGTTTGCCTTCATTATCGTTGGCTGCTTTGTTTTGCTGATGATGTGTACGGTTCTAAGAAGTTCTGGCGCTTGAGACATGCAAAATCTTGTCTCATTTTGGCTCTTCAAAAGGCAGAGCTCCCATTTCTGCTAAAGCGAACGCCGTGTCTGCTAACAGACATTCAGATGATTGCAGTTGCGATCCCTCGTACCGGAAATTAAAAACCATTGCTGTTTT